ATAATTGCTTCACTGAATGTACCTTAAACAGTAGAGCGTTTGTACTGGCAGCTCGTGGAACATGTTTGTCTTTTGGGGGTCAGTACAGGCACAGTGGTCTTGCTCAGAAAAACTGACCTTGCTAGACTGTCGCTGTTTCTATCACTGTTTGTTTTTCATCGGTAAAAACAGTCAGGAATGTGAGGCTAAAGCTGGATTACAATCTCAGAGGCAAGGTTCACCCACTGCGCTCACAGAGAACTACAGAAAGATCAACAGAAAACAAGCTGAGCATTTATTCTACAGCTGAAGCATGAAAAATGTATTTACAGGGAAAGAAATCCTTATACAACGAATGTATGAACATTAGGGTGCCACTCGATGCAATGGTGAATTTTTTAAAAACATTTTACATGTTCCACCCCCTCGTTCTGTTCCTTTTATGATGCATAGTAACTGTGGAAAGTTTTATTCAGGTATATTCATATTTACTGATAGCTCAATGTTTTTATATGTACTTTTATCGTGATGAAATGTTATTTAATTCGAAATTTCTCTACTAAAGTAATTTAATCCTTGAGTAAGTACTGACATCATTTAACTGTTCTTTTTCATATTCTGATTTGTGTTATTATTTGGTTTAAATACTACGTAATCAGAATAATATTTTTGGGTTAGTACTATAGCAATCAATGGTATAGTTAACTCTTTGGACTATGAGAGGAAGCAGGAGAACATGAAGAGAACCCACACAGACATGGGGAGACTCCAAAAAAGGCAGGCCTGGGCCTCGATCCTGCTGTGAGGGGACAATGCTAACCACTGCACCACAATGCCGCATCTGTGTGTCATGTTATACTTAATTATTCTCATTTTCAGCACCACATACCAGAAGGTCACTTCAAGAGAGGTCACTTAATGAGACTGTCTCTTTTGCAGCTGCCACTTCTATTTCTTGGAGTGCAGTGGGGACGTACACGTTCAGGCTCCCAGAGCTTTCCACCAGGTTCGGTGATCTACAGTCTGAACATTTTCTGTTTTGCTCCCAGTGTCATACATGGTAAATGGTCTGTTATGTATAGTGTCTTTCTAGTCTTTGACCACTCCCACACCTTACACTACAACACATTCACCCACCTATCAGCAGAGACCCAACTGCTCATCAGAAACAGAAATTAACTCATTCACACACTTTCACTAACTGATCTCAACCTTCCGGTTAGTGGACGAACGCTCTACTCTGAGCCAAAGCAGCCCACTTAAGCCACTTCAACACTTCCGTAATTAAGGTCTATCTGGTTTACATGTGCTTCTTCCACATCATGGAAATCTGCACCTACTCTGTGAACTGGAGCACTAGCCTACAAGAAAACACATGTAGCTGTTGCTAAAGCTGCAATGCATTCATTCTCTGGGCACTTGTGGATACTTCACTGTTGATTATTAACTATTAATTTAGGCAGGGTGCACAATGTGCAAATTAATTAAATTTGATGTTGAATATTGTAAAAAAAAAAAAAAAAAAAAAAAAAAAAAAAAAAAAACTTTGTCAGTGTTGAGCTACCAGTAAATATTATCAGAATTGTCAACTTAGTTCTTGCCACATTAACACATTTGGGTGGGGGGGTGGAAAGATGAAAATTAGAAACTTTATTTTTGAGTAGCACCCTAATCAACATGCACATTTCTGCAACAGTACTCAAGGGAAATCAATCAGATTTTTTTTAAATGACACATTGCCCAAAATGAGCATACAGCCAGGTGAAGTTCAGCTTGGCATGCTGAGAGAGTTTGACACTAGCCAAACCCAAAAAGCAGGCAGAACGGTATGAAATGTTATGTATAACCAAATGCATTATGATCACAACTCATTTCAGGTTCTCAAATCTCACTTCACTGTGGATTTTTCACTGTGGCAGTTACAAAAAAAACCATTGAGCTTTAAAAAAAAAGATTTGCCATAGTATGAACGACAGAAAATCAATACTGTTTAATGATGTACTCTTTCAGCTGTAATGAACCACAACATCAAATTGAGCCACGGTATGAACTACATTACAATTCACGCAATGAACAGAGACATCAAATGGAGCAGACAAACCCAAACTCAAATTTCATTCAAATGTTAAACCTTTTCTTTGACCAAGTGAACAGCATATTTTCTTTATACAGGAGCAGGTATAATCACTATATATACCCTCAAGCCCTGTAAAACCTGATCATTGCCATTTTTAGCAGATGGGTGCGAATATTTTGTACGATATATGGCAGTCACCACCTCAGTGAATTACACAAACTACTTTGCTCGGTGTGTATGCAGTCAGTGTAAAGGGGATTTAAAGAGATGCTCGATGTTTTATCGTTGCATCGTTACTAAAGTGTGCTTCATTGGGTATAGCGAGGTGAGGTTTGGGTCTTCTTTGGGGAATCTCTCTTCAGTCAGTATAAGAGTGAATCCTTTGACTCACCATCTTTCGCCTGAGTGAATAATGGTGATTGGCATCCTTAAAGGCCGCCCCCAAGGGAACAAATCCCTTAAGCTGCAACAATCACAAGTCAAACTCATGCATGATGCATGGCTCTATGTGTGTGTACTTCCCAAGTGCCCTTTCAAATATTAAGGATAATATTCATATGGCTACACTAACTGCATAACTGTATTGTTCCGATAAAAACAAACATGGTTTATAATTATTAGGGAAGAGGGATTATGAAGTTTTTTGAAGACCACATTGCTGCAGTTCCCCTGTGGCACAGATGGAAATCAAAGTTGCTCAGACCTCATTGTGCCACCCACGATTTCCTCATTTACACGCTGCTAAAAGCTAAGAGTAACATCTGCCCAAAAACCTGTTTTGTATTCTGAGGACTGGAGAAAGATCTGCAAGACGCAGTAGCTGTAGCCTAGATGTGGAGAAATCTGTGATTATGTGGGTTATTGTTAAAGGCTAAAAACGTTTTAATATAAGCAACACTTTTTCTTGTCTGTCTTCAGGATCAGCTGCAGCCATTTAATCCCTCAAAGAAACTTCAACAGGATGATTGCTTTTGAAACTGAGTTATCCCACCAGAGCGACAAGCTCAATGAGGCATGCCTCCTTTAAATTAGAGTCAATGTAATTTGTTTGTTGAAGGCCTAAACGGTATTGGTCCATTTGAACATCTTCCAGCAACTATTTTGACAAATCATTAAGTCAAATGTAAACAACAATGTTTCATCTTCTTAAATGCGACTTTCTGCGTCTTCTATGATGATAAACTGGGCTGGTGTGTGAGTATGTGAGTGTGAGTGTGAGTGAGAGAGAGAGAGTGTGAGAGAGTGTGAGTGAGAGAGAGTGAGTGTGAGTGTGAGTGTGAGTGTGAGAGAGAGAGAGAGAGAGAGAGAGAGTTGCTACCACAAACATTTAGGAAAAATCTTGTGTACATTAATTGATTGTAAAGCCCTTTACTTCCATTCAAATGACCCTCCAGCTCGCTGCTGTGTGCACTCACTCGGTCTTGTTGCGGGTTTTGTCCTCACTGAGCTGCAGCAGGTTGATGACAGCCTGTCCAAGCAGTTTGTCTGGACCCACCAGGGCCCGATGTAGGACGTGGACATGCAGCGTGGAGCGCTCCGTGCCTCCTCCTCCTCCCTGTTGCAGCGACGGCAGGTCGAAAGCGGCCTCCTCCCTCCACACCGGGGCCACGCTCTTCTCCACCACCGAGGTCTGATACTTCTCCTTGCCCACTTGCATGACCGCGTACGCATCGTTCGTGCCGCTTTTCCCTTTTATCCTGAGGCCTCTGGCTTGGAGTACCGTTACCTGGACGCTTGTGGGACACCACTGCTGATCCGCCAGGGACATGCTGACGCCACTCCTTGCTGGATTAACAGCGCGCAGAAATTAAACGAAATCCCCAAAACAAAACGCAGTGGCGTCTCCCAAGTGTTCACCGCGCGACTGGACAGAAGAGAGAGAAAGTTTTCTCAGGGGCTTCCTTGAACTTGAGGAAACAGCTGATTGGGCGTGGTTACACCAACAGGGGGCCTTGATTAAGACAAAACACTCCCCCAGATAATACGGCTTCTGTACAAAGCTGACACGCTGCGTTCATTCACGCCACAACAACCACTTACTGGAGATAACAGGCCACAACAGATCCTTGTTGACACTTGCCAGAGTGCATCAGCTGTTTTCAAAAAAGTTCTGAGTGACTGACTTGGGTACTTAAAATATGTTTAATCATTTAATACCCTGGTTGGTTTCATTAAAAGACAACTTTAACTATCTTTCTCTGGGTCTGAAAACATGATACCTCTGCTCTAATAATCACTTGGAGAGGACAGGATACCTGAGCGCTGATAGGGTTCATATGGTTGGATTTAGTTTCTGTGCAGCTCCAGTCTGAATGTTAAGTAGGGCAGCATGGATTTCATCATCGGTCCTTCCGTGGATCGAATGCTCTAAAATACCTTGAATGTGTTTGATCTTTGTGTCTGGCTGCCTGTACAGAGTCGATCCCCTGCATTCTTCTCAGTGCATGCTGGGATAAACCCTCAATCCTCATGAATTAGGTTGGTATGGAAAATGTATAAATATGTATTTTAGACAGTTAGACAGCCATTTAAATCAGTCTGTATTGACTATGAATGTCACAATGTGCAGTATGGTTCATGTTTGAACACTGACTCCTGCTGGTTCACAGAGGGAACAAAATGAACAGTTACTTTAAATTCCTCTAAACGTCCGATCCTTTAAAGAAACACTTTCCTAACAGACAATAAACATTGAAAACGTACATTATCACGACTTACATTGTGCACCCCGCCTAAAGATGTTTGATCTCACTGTCTCTGCTTCCTCGTGCCCAGCAAAGATTAAAATTAAGTGCAGACACATATAGAGCGCTGAGCCCATTAGCAAACTGACGCAAAAGTCTTGGCACTGCCAAAGAGTCTGACGGTGATGGTAGTACTAGGCACTTAAATCAGTTAAATGGCTGTGCACCTGTTAAAAGATTCAGATTTACAACAAAAAAGGTCAGTGTTTTTAGAGGAGAATGTTTTAATCAGACATACAACAAGTTCAATAAAAGGAAGCAGAATGAATTGAGGTCACTATAGGAACAATAAGTTAAGAAAAGACAAAGTCACCTCTTAGCATTGCTACAATCTCTTACAGTACAGATCCGTCAAACAGTAAGTATAACCATTCTCCTAATTTCACATCATACAAACAATATACACAAATATATATTTTTACACTGAAAGAAACATAAATATCAAAACATAAAATCTTTTTTTTTGTTACAAGTCTGCACGTTTTGTAAAAGGAAAATACCCACTGCAACATATTCACTGTGTCCTCATTGTCTTTCTGTTGAATCTTGATTGTTTTTATCATCCTCTGGATTTTCATCCTCTAAATGTTTGGTGTCGCTGTGGTCCCCCTGGTCCTGCTCACCCACAAGAACTTTACTGTAAAGTTTCTGCTGCTCCTCTTTAAAAGCATCTTTCACTTTTTCTCGTTTCAGCCCTCCGTCCCTGAGAGCATACAGGTAAGAAAGGAAAACAATATCACACATTGCACTGCAGGACTCAACACGGTGTCATTAGTTACTTCCTTCACAAACCACTGAAGGAAATAAGATTGACCCATGATTTAAGTGTCTTGGTGTATCAATAAAGCCAAAAAGGTCCACTTAAAACTTAGCAAATGCATCATGATGTACGTACACAAAGCATAAACTTCTACTACTTTACTGAAACTACTTTACTGAAGTGTAAAACATACAGTGGGTACGGAAAGTATTCAGACCCCTTTAAATTTTTCACTCTTTGTTTCATTGCAGCCATTTTCCAAAAATCAAAAAAGTTCATTTTATTTCTCAGTAATGTACACTCAGCACCCCATCTTGACAGAAAAAAACAGAAATGTAGAAATTTTTGCAAATTTATTAAAAAAGAAAAACTGAAATATCACATGGTCATAAGTATTCAGACCCTTTGCTCAGTATTTAGTAGAAGCACCCTTTTGATCTAATACAACCATGAGTCGTTTTGGGAAAGATGCAACAAGTTTTTCACATCTGGATTTGGGTATCCTCTGCCATTCCTCCTTGCAGATCCTCTCCAGTTCTGTCAGGTTGGATGGTAAATGTTGGTGGACAGCCATTTTCAGGTCTCTCCAGAGATGCTCAATTGGGTTTAAGTCAGGGCTCTGGCTGGGCCATTCAAGAACAGCCACGGAGTTGTTGTGAAGCCACTCATTCGTTATTTTAGCGGTGCGCTTAGGGTCATTGTCTTGTTGGAAGGTAAACCTTCGGCCCAGTCTGAGGTCCAGAGCACTCTGGAAAAGGTTTTCGTCCAGGATATCCCTGTACTTGGCCGCATTCATCCTTCTCTCGATTGCGACCAGTCGTCCTGTCCCTGCAGCTGAAAAACACCCCCACAGCATGATGCTGCCACCACCATGCTTCACTGTTGAGACTGTATTGGACAGGTGATGAGCAGTGCCTGGTTTTCTCCACACATACCGCTTAGAATTAAGGCCAAAAAGTTCTATCTTGGTCTCATCAGACCAGAGGATCTTATTTATCACCATCTTGGAGTCCTTCAGGTGTTTTTTAGCAAACTCCATGCGGGCTTTCATGTGTCTTGCACTGAGGAGAGGCTTCCGTCGGGCCACTCTGCCATAAAGCCCCGACTGGGGGATTGCTGCAGTGATGGTTGACTTACTACAACTTTCTCCCATCTCCCGACTGCATCTCTGGAGCTCAGCCACAGTGACCTTCTTCTTTACCTCTCTCACCAAGGCTCTTCTCCCCCGATAGCTCAGTTTGGCCGGACGGCCAGCTCTAGGAAGGGTTCTGGTCGTCCCAAACGTCTTCCATTTGAGGATTATGGAGGCCACTGTGCTCTTAGGAACCTTAAGTGCAGCAGAAATTTTTTTGTAACCTTGGCCAGATCTGTGCCTTGCCACAATTCTGTCTCTGAGCTCTTCAGGCAGTTCCTTTGACCTCATGATTCTCATTTGCTCTGACATGCACTGTGAGCTGTAAGGTCTTATATAGACAGGTGTGTGGCTTTCCTAATCAAGTCCAATCAGTATAATCAAACACAGCTGGACTCAAATGAAGGTGTAGAACCATCTCAAGGATGATCAGAAGAAATAGACAGCACCTGAGTTAAATATGAGTGTCACGGCAAAGGGTCTGAATACTTATGACCATGTGATATTTCAGTTTTTCTTTTTTAATAAATTAGCTAAAATTTCTACATTTCTGTTTTTTTCTGTCAAGATGGGGTGCTGAGTGTACATTACTGAGAAATAAAATGAACTTTTTTGATTTTTGGAAAATGGCTGCAATGAAACAAAGAGTGAAAAATTTAAAGGGGTCTGAATACTTTCCGTACCCACTGTATCTGTGGAACAATGAGGAGAATGTAACTTTCCTCAAATAAGAACAACATAAAACAAACAAATGCCATATTTCCATTTCACACAATTTGAGGTTTGCTCTTTTAATTACATTAGTCATCTCAGGACAACACCTCAACCACGCCACTTCCGGCATTTCTATAAATGTCCTACTACACTCCCCCCCCCCCACCCCCACACACACACTTTTTCTTGTTTCCTCATCTCCTTCTTCCTCCACGTAGGGTTATAATGGGGTCTGTTGTGCCAGGGTCGACCGTGGATTTTTCCATTGTAGCTTCCCTACAACGCTTTCGAAATATAGCTATCCAGCAAGTGCAAGCCTTGCATATCTTTCCGTTTGTTCATCAATCGATTAGATGAGATAGACTTTATTGTCTACCTTCATGGAAATGTGTCTTTAACTTCTCCAAAACATAGCAATACAACCATGACACCACAGTTATCACACATTAAGAATACAACAATTAAACAATTAAACATACAACATCAAAAGAAAACAGTAGCAGCAGCAGAAGGGAATGAGGTAGGGTTGGACCCAAATATGCGATCGCTGGGTACACACTCATCTTTAAATTTTGAGATTCGTATGTTGTTTTTTCACACGCTTCACCTCCGACTTTGCCTCCGCTCAGCAGTAAAAGTAATTTTCCAGTTTACATAAAAAGGGAAAGCAAAATGAAGCCGTCAGCTGTGTGAGAGCACTTTAAACTGAATGATGACAACGGCAGTGTGGCAGTTATGGGGTTTGTTCACTTTACAATTGCTTAATTTCATTACCGATCAAAAAAAGTAAAACAGCCTACATTTTAAAATGAATCAGCAGCCTAAAACGTAGGCTACAACAAACTAAAAACAGCATAATGAACACATTTAAATCATTATATTAGGCTGACTGAAGGAGAACATTTAGTAGGCTATAATAAAAGTTAAGTGATAATGCATAATAGGCATAAGTGTTATTTTAATCCCGCTACCGGAAATAACGCTCATCACATCTGTTCTCCTTAGACCTGCTCAGTTCAGCCTCTCAGTCTGGACTCTCAGTAGGTAGGCTATGGTCCCAACCTGCTCTGCACAGCAGCCACAAACCTGGTTCAGCATGCACCTAATCTTCCGCTTTTCCTGGCTCAATCTCCCGTCCCTTCAACCCTGCAGTAAATATTCCTCTTTTATCTAACTCATTTTCTTAGTCCTGCACAGGCCTACTAGCCTAGACATAACAGTTAAAAACAAAAGTGTTGGTAATAATAACTTGCTGTTTTAGTTAGCCTACGCTGTAAGAACTAAAAAAAGGGAACGCTCTCTATTTTTCTCTCTTTCACACACATGCACACACGCATTAATGAGCCGCAGTTATCTCTCCCCCCTCGGATTCTCCCTCACTCGTGTCATTGCCAGAACCTCCTGGGCATTATCCTTCTTTTGCTCTTCAGCTTATATCAAATACATAGCTGAGCTTCCAAGCTCAAAAAATGACAGCCCTAGTTACAGTCTAAAAGTAAACACATTTAAAAATGCAGTAATTTTGCCTGTATGGCATGGTGAATAAAAGATCTCTTACATCTGTTCCAGCTCACCCTCGGGACCTTGAATCAAATTCCAGACGGGAGCAACTCAAACTCCAAGTTTAGTCGGGGTGAGGCATCTACAGATATCTGTCTGGCCTTCCTGAGTACTCCACTGTCTATACACCAAGCTGCTTTTGTGCCTTGCCAATCACCTTCCCTGCAATATTAACAATTTTGGAAAGCTTGTTTTTGTCTTTCACATTAATATTAAACTGTAAAATGCTTTCTACCAAATGTATGCCATCTCAAGGATGTGTTGACTAACCCTAAAGCTCCTCAGCTCTCTGATTAAAAACAGTCGCTGGTTGGCCGTCTTAAAAGTACTTTAAACATTAAAACTTAAAGCGTTATTAATGATTGTGTCCAAGTACTTAAAATGTTCCACTACTTTAACAGGTTGTGAAGTACAACAGGGGTGTTGTAACTGGCCCCTCTTTGTTTTGTGTTTATTATAAGTTATATTGTTTTGGCCACGTTAATTTCGAAAATAATAGCCTGACACCAGTCTTACAGTAAAATGACCTGGCTAAAGTAAGCTTCCTCATGTGCTGCCCTATTTTCTGTGAGAAGTTCAACCAAGGCAATGTCACATTTTCGTGTCATTTATTTAAATTGAAACAGAGGCAGCCTTGTGGTCCTCCAGTATTTATATCATCATATCAATAAATCATTTAAATTTATGTTGTTGATGGTGTGGTTCTTGCTACTGAAATGGCACCTGACTGGATAATCAGCCCCACCAACGTAATGAACCAGCGCCAAATATTTGCAAGAAGTGGATGGAAATGCCTACAAATGTGCGTTTTCTTGTTGCTGATGTTCTGAAAAAAAGTTAAAATTTGCACTACATTAGGATGGAAACCTGGCTAATGACTCACCAAATGAGATCCGTTAACCCTCCTTGTGCAGCTATGGCTGCTTTCACTCTGTTGGCAAACTGCACCGCATCCTCCCCTTCCTACACAAGGACAACAAAAAAGAACAGGCTAAGAAAAGTAACGTGGAAAAAGTTCTCCAATAGATAGGAAAAACAACAGATGTTCTGAAAGTTCTTTCACTGACTTCGGTAATGCTCCATATATTTCTTTGTAAGGTTGTGACAAAGAGTTTCACCTCTATGTTCATAGGCGGCAAATACCAAACGCTGCAGACAATGGCCCAGCTGCTCATCATCCTCAGCAGATAATTCACCATGCCAAACTTACTGCTGTTCCAGAAAGCATCCCCGAACTGTGGATCATACTGCAAGATGGAAATAAGGTACTGTAAGAGCAAAATGAGAAAAAGGGAGGAAAAAGACAAAAACATCTCCTACCTTGATAGCCACTGGATAGACGGTGCAGCCAATTTCAAAGCTACCTTTTTTGAACATCATCACTGATGTGTTGTTAATGCACGTACCTATAAAGACACAGTGTGAAGCTCTTATCCACACTAAACAGCAAACTTTATGGGCTCTACCCATGTCTTTAAAAATGTTTTAATCATCATACAAACCCTCAGGGAAGATCAGGATGGGCTGTTTGGTTTTGTCAGCAACGTGATCACCAAGCCTGAAATAATGAAGCAGAAATGATCAAAATATTGTAAAACAATCTTTCTGTTACCCTGACTTCTAGTGTTTAAGCCCAATGGTGTTCAAGTCCAATCAGAATGGCTTCCATTAGAAATAACCAAATCATATACTCATACTCCACAGTCTATGTCAAGTTAAAATATCACCAAAGTGCTTATAAATGACATGAAAATGTGGCGTGTACTGCCTTCTTAAATGCCCTTAAGTTCTACCCATTAGCTGCTACATGCTACTGTATTCCAGTTTTGTTCAAGACCATGACTGAGAAAGCAGGTTTGTATGTAGAGTTGTACAGTAGTTTGTATGGAAAAAAATATGTGGCTGCTCTCAGCGAGCTCTGCAGCGAGCTGGAGGGTCATTTTAATGGAAGTAAAGGGCTTTACAATCAATTAATGTACACAAGATTTTTCCTAAATGTTTGTGGTAGCCTCTCTCTCTCTCTCTCTCTCTCTCTCCCCCCACACGTTAATTTTATTACATTTAGGTGTTTTAATGCGTGTGTCTGTTTTGTAACTGTAATTTTATTATGATATATTTTATGTAACTCACTGTTACTGCAACACTGTAATTTCCCTTTGGGGATGAATAAAGTACCCACGTATCTATCTAGGTTTCTATTTTTTCACAAGTTTAAAGTGAGGATACAAAAATTTAAAGCATAACAAGATTTTGACGCAATTTACTCACAGTGTTGCCACCTGACAAATACAAATTTTATGTGTGTGCAAAACCTTTTTACCATATGTTTTAAGTTATTATGTGCCAAAATTATCTAAAATGCATTGTGTATTTCAAATTAGTTGAAGAACCTAAAAGATATTTGGTTGCACGACAAACAAACAGTACTTTACAGAATGTAACTGGAGCTACAGGTGAAACTCGAAAAATTAGCATATCATGCTAAAGTTCATTTATTTCAGTAATTCAACTTAAAAGGTGAAACTAATATATTATATAGACTCATTACATGCAAAGTGAGATATTTAAGCCTTTATTTGATATCATTTTGATGATTATTGCATACAGATTATGAAAACCCCAAATTCAAATTCTCAGAAAATTAGAATATTGTGAAAAAGTTCAGTATTGTAGGCTCAAAGTGTCACACTCTAATCAGCTAATTAATCCAAAACACCTGCAAAGGGTTCCTGAGCCTTTAATTGGTCTCTCAGTCTGGTTCAGTGGAATTCACAATCATGGGGAAGACTGCTGACCTGACAGTTGTGCAGAAAACCATCACTGACACCCTCCACAAGGAAGGAAGGCCTCAAAAGATAATTGCAAAAGAAGTTGGATATTCTCAAAGTGCTGCCTCAAGGCACATTAATACAAAGTTAAGTGGAAGAAAAAGGTGCACAAGCAGCAGGGATGACCGTAGCCTGGAGACGATTGTCAGGTAAAGGCCATTCAAATGTATGGCGGAGCTTCACAAGGAGTGGACTGAGGCTGGAGTTACTGCATCAAGAGTCACCACACACAGACGGGTCCTGGACGTGGGCTTCAAATGTCGTATTCCTCTTGTCAAGCCGCTCCTGAACAACAAACAATGTCAGAAGCGTCTTACCTGGGCTAAAGGAAAAAAAGAACTGGTCTGTTTCTCAGTGGTCCAAAGTCCTCTTTTCTGATGAGAGCAAATTTTGCATCTCATTTGGAAACCAAGGTCCCAGAGTCTGGAGGAAGAATGAGAGAAGAGAGGCACACAATCCAAGATGCTTGAAGTCCAGTGTGAAGTTTCCACAGTCTGTTTGTGTTTGGGGAGCCATGTCATCTGCTGGTGTTGGTCCACTGTGCTTTATTAAGTCCAGAGTCAGCACAGCCGTCTACCAGGACATTTTAGAGCACTTTATGCTTCCTTCAGCAGACAAGCTTTATGGAGATGCTGACTTCATTTTCCAGCAGGACTTGGCACCTGCCCACACTGCCATAAGTACCAAAACCTGGTTCAATGACCATGGGATTACTGTGCTTGATTGGCCAGCAAACTCGCCTGACCTGAACCCCATAGAGAATCTATGGGGCATTGCCAAGAGAAAGATGAAAGACATGAGACCGAACAATGCAGAAGAGCTGAAGGCCGCTATTGAAGCATCCTGGTTTTCCATAACACCTCAGCAGTGCCACAGGCTGATGGCATCCATGCCACGCCGCATTGAGGCAGTAATTCATGCAAAAGGGGCCCAAACAAAGTACTGAGTACATATGCATGATTATACTTTCTTGTACAGAGCTGACATTTCTGTATTTAAAAGCCTTTTTTATTGACTTCATGTAATATTCTAATTTTCTGAGATTTTGAATTTGGGCTTTTCATAAGCTGTACGCAATAATCATCAAAATTATATCAAATAAAGGCTTGAAATATCTCACTTTGCATGTAATGAGTCTATATAATATCAGTTTCACCTTTGAAGTTGAATTGCTGAAATAAGAACTGAGAAGATGTAGTGTTACCTTTTGGCCACTAGGTGTCTGTCTTTGACTTCTGATCTTTCGAACCAGATGTGAGGAGAAGATTTGACCATGGCTCGCTGCATCATTCCCATCAACCCTCCTTGCACCTGGCCGACCTGACAGACAAGTTTCAATCTTAAACATCTCTACTCATCTCTTACATTGTAAAAGCTGATTCTTCATAATCATTCGTTCTTATGAAGGCCGAACACGCACACTCACAGAAACACACAGAGACACGCAAACTTTTCTACCAAAGAGTAGCAGCCATCATTGGCCAAGATGATGACATCAATGGGTGTTGTGTGATTGGCCACACAGATACAGCCATTCTTTGGTTTGTTCTCTCTGAAATTAAACAAGTGTGTTTAAGACACACAAATATCCAGTCCCAAAAGAGGAAACTACACATACACAGATCAACGCTTTCCATTCCAGTATTTGAAATAAAGACATTTACAAAAAGTAGTTAAATTCATATTTAATAAATGTGACTGTCTCTTAAAAAGCTGAATATTAAATACGTTGTACCTGTTATGATAGGTGATGATTGCTGTGAGAGCTCTAACACAGATGCGATAGCACATCAGATGAGCCTTCTCACTCAGGAAGAACCTTAATCTTAAGACATAATGCCCAAAAATTACTCCAGCCTCCTAATAATGCACACTTCAAGGTTTATCAAACAACCACTTCATTTTTAAAGGAGCCTAAAATTCCCCAGAAAATGTTTTTTATTTTAAACCTGACCGGCTAAGAGAAACATGTGGTTACACCTAGTCAGTCTTTTGATCATCTGTCTACCCTTGTTACAGGAACTTAACTTCACATGAGCATGAGCTGTGTCACATTTGACAGAGAACTGGGGAAACTTACTTTCTATTTGGTAAAAAGCCCACCACAGTAGTCAGGACTATAAGCAGACCAATGCCAGTGACTGCCAGAGTAACTCTGCAAAAGAAAAAAACACATATAGTTCACTCAAGACTGAGCAAGATGTTCACTATGACATGAATCTCTCTGCCTCTACCACATATCCTGCCTGCATGCTGCTCTGACCTGAGAGGCAACAGGATGCCATAGCGGATAAGGACTCCAAGGCCCCACAGGACAGTAAGTCTCAGACTTATATGACGGAAGTTGTAGTTGCTTCGAGTCAGCAAATTCCAGCTCTCAAGTTCCTGAGCCGAAAAGCGCTTGGTCACCTCATCATCCACTATGCTCTCCACACCTCTCCGGCAGAAGTAGAAGATGTCAGCCATCTCAAACTCCGGCTCTAAGCGCAGACAGCTGGCAGAACCCCGCAGCTCCTGGATCCCTTGCTGCCAACACAATGGGGGTTCTTTGGCTATGATTCCTACAGTGAGAACGAAAAACAAGGAAGACATGAATTTGAGTTAATGGTACACTAAGCACTGACGAGTGAAAAATATTGAAATGAACCGTGTTTACCGTAACTATATGGTTTATAGAGTTGATGATTCTTTTCCTTTGCTCCCATCTCCATACGTGAGGTGGCCCACTAATTTAAGAGAAAAAAACATTAAGACAACTACATGAGAAAACAAGATTAAGTGTTAGATTTGTCTGCTGATTAGCAGCTATGAAGTTGAATGAGCAGTAATAAGCCCTGCAGGCCTCCAAATTGCATTCCAGCAGCGCTGTAGCCCATGGAAAACAAGCTATTCACAATTGTACACTACACACACACAATCCTATGAGCCCAAAATGATCCACATTACAAAGATCTTGCCAGCCTTGCAAGATGCTAAGGCTGATTTGGAGACCATTAAAGCCAGACTGCCAGACACAAGCTCACACAAACGCTGAGTGTTACCTACACCTGTTACAACAATACAGGTTGTTCTGTTGCGGTCTGTACGCCATTCAGTCTTTGCTCATTAAAGCATGTTATATAGTTTAGTTACCCAACCAACCTATTTTGTTCATTTAATTAATTTAAATATTTATTATTTTTTTTATTTTCTAGGACAACACCTGTAAGAGAAGGGGGAAAGGGGGATGGAAGGTGGGGACAACAGGGAAAAGCTGTGGGAAACACCAATTGCAGAAAGCAACGAAACCTGCAATAGAACAGAGAGGGGGGCTTGGGGAGGAGAAAAACAACAACAACAAACAAACACAAACAAAAACAAACAATAAAAATAATAATAATATTAAAAGACAACCAGCCGAACAGCAGCAATAAACAGCTGACATATTAAGACAACTAAGAGAAAAATGAAAACAAGAAACAGTCACACACACTAAATAAGCAACACAACACAGCCACGAGAGCTGGAATAATAATTAATTTAAATAAGTAACTGAAAGAAAAGCATCAGGAATAATTCTACCAGGGACAAACCTAAGTTTGTCTGTGTCTGTGTGTGTCTGTGTGCGTGTGGGTGAATGTGTCTGTATGTGTGTGTGTGTGTGTGCGCATAAGCCTGTTAAAGAATGTAGTTGTTAGTGAGAGTGGGACGCCACGACTGTAACAGGCAGGCAAGAACCCCAGTAGCCAATAGGGGTGGGAGAAAGAAAAAGAATAAATCAAATCAAAAAAAAACAAAGACTCCCAGATGCACCGCGATGCAAACGCAGAAGACCTCGACCCAAATGCAAGTTGACAACGTAATGCCAACGGAACGCAAAAAGCGTAACCCGCGGAAGAGCAGCGCCCGGACCGACCGCGGCGCACACACAACATAGACCAGTGCTTAACATTTAATTTTAATGCATATTTGATATGGTTTTCATAGTTTACATAAGATATTGGCTGTTTTTAACACCCCTTCACACAGGAACCTGCGCAATGCAGGTTTATGGTGGATCAAGAGTGTCTGCAGCTCCTCCCATCCTTCTTGAAAAAGCTAGCAGAAAGGCATTGATTGACAGCCACTTCCAAGTGACCAGCTCCAGGGCCCCAAACAGCCTTTTCCAGAGCTCAGAGATCCAAGGGTGTGACAGCTGCCTTAAACTGTCCTACAACCTTTAACAAATTGGGAAATCATTTTGCATTGCCCTCAAACAACACGTACTTCCCTATTAGTTCAGCTTTAATCTTGACTACTGCTGTATATTCTGAGTGTAGAAGGGGAGAGGTCTGAAGCTAACAACTCTAAACCATATGACAACAGGGGCTGAGCTTGCGATAAAAATTGCCTCGTGTTCTCTGTACCACATCTCTAAAATCCTCAAGCTATGCCATTAGATGAACTTTATCCCAAGAGTCAAAGCTCCCAGCAGTATCTGCACCACCTCAGTTTATAGTCCCATAGCTAAAAGCTCCTCCCAGGGGTCTGACCCAAAGGAATGTCCCTGAGGAAAGGGAGGCAACAACATGTCCTGTGATTCTAACAGTCCCTCTGAGCTGGGATGACCCAGGGGTCCCATCCAACAGGGAATGCACTTTTTAGAAAATAAAATAAAAATCTGTTAAATAAAACCTGCAAAAAACTATTTTGTGCAAATTTTGCTAATATGTCAAAGGGCCTGATCACTACTGCAGTTTAGAGGTAATATGTTTGTTTTAAAATGTTGTACAATGTATAATCAATAAATAAACCAACCTTTTCAGTTCATCAACAACATTTGTAAATTATGGAAAAATTATGCACCCTTCTAATAATATTGTGCATTAAATAGACATTAAGCTCACCTCAAAGATCTTGAGAAGTGTCCTCATGTAGAGTCTGCGGATACCAAGAGAAACTCCAAGCACAGCTGGCACAATTATGAAGACAATCAGAATAGTCAACCACACAGTGATGGAGATGCCAAGACACCTGCACAGCATGTCAGCAGGAAATGTAAACCAAGTCATGCTGCTCAACAACGGAAGAGACACAGAGAGGAAAGTGACTGTGCACGAGGTCTACTGGTCCAGTTGAAGCTTCGGTGTCTGAAGCCGATGCTGAAATATACATCAGCAAAAACTCATTGTCAAAGACAGCACAAAATATTAAGATAAGTCACACAAAGAGTACAAACTTTATAATCCCCAGTGTTCCCTCTATGAGCTTTTGAGCAACATCATACTTTGCTGATGGCCAATATAGTATAAGGTAGGTTTGGTTTTCAGACAGTTATTTTTACTCATAAATTATTATTATTGTATTATTATAATGACACATTACTGATATATTAGAGCATCCTGGGCTACAGTTTAATACTTATATAGGATTACGCCCTGGTCTACGGTTACTGTTTGTTCGCTTCTGTTATTGAGGAACATAACTGACGGAGTCTGCCAAAGTGACTTTTTCTGACAGCATGTGTTAAGAGTAAAATAGTTATTCCACCTTTTCAACAATGAGAGAGTGGCTGTTTTTCAGCTGTAAATTGACAGCCATCGCCTTATTGTTGAAGAACAGGAATAGCGCTAATGCAAGCTGTCAGAAACAAAGCTGATGACTTCAGAGAGGAAACGACTTCAGTTTACCTGTTAGCTGGCTGTTATCATTTATAGTTGTGTAAAATGAAATATTGTGAATATCTATAAATTATATTAAATGAAAATATATTTAGGAGTTCAGCTATCCCTGGCAAGCATGAAATAAAGGTTCAGTAGCACTAAAAAGCTAGTTCTGGAGTAATGACCAATTCCTAATACTAACGCCTTAACGTTAATTTATGGGAAAACAAAAACACTAGTATATAACTCCATTAACGATGACTTAGATACAGGAACATTTAGTTAGAATTAAGTACAATAAGTGGTCATTATATAGCTTCACTGGAACAACGATAATAATAATAATAATAATAATAATATGTGTCACCTAACGTTATATTCATTAACATTTAATAATGGTTAACTGCAATTGACTTGTTTTCCATGCTCAACGTTCAGTAACTAGCATCCTGTAACATTAATGAGACACATTCAAGTTTAACGTCTATTTCTTCAGTTATTGATTATTAGGAAGTTTAATAAGTTTGGTTCGTAACATGTTAAGTTTTAGCTTACAAGCGAGCTGCTAGATTTGTTAAAAAACATAAAGCTCACTTTGACCCCCAGCTAACGGCTAACAGTGCGTTAGCTAACTGTTATTGGGTAAGGGCTCTTACCGTCCTCCGGGTTTAACGCTAACACTAGGGTTGTACCGGAGGAACAGGAGGACTGAGGTGACAGACGGTCAGGTCCTTCTCCATCTGGAGAGTCCAGGTTGAAGCGCGGGGACCGCTGACACTGGGCTGCTGGCTTTACAGGCTTTCAGTAGCATGCTAACAGCTACAGACAGTTGTATAGCCTTCCTTCGTGGCAACAGGTGGCCAATGAGCGCCGCTGTCACTGCGGTATGGGCTGGATCTGATCCACGGTCTGATCCACAGTCTGTGATCTGATGTGATTTCTATGTACGGTCTATGGTGATCACACTGGATAATGATAACACGAGGAAGTAATATTATCAGGAATATTATTATAATTGAGGGACTTCCTGGTTAAACAAAGGTTGAATGCAAAATTAATGAAATTATTGTATAGTATCCATTTATGGTTAACATTATGAAAATATAAGCACATTTGAACTACATTTGAGTGGGGGTACCATACAGTAGGCTATAATAATAACAATAGCCTAGCTAGTTATATCGCTTACCATAATATGGGAAGTAATTGGATCTCCCCTCCCCACCTTACAGTACAATGTGCCCAAGATAAAAAGAATGTTTTGATGGAGTCATTTAGGCTTCTTTTTATAACTCTGTGTGCCGTGTTGTAAAAGTCCCTGTTTGGGATCATTTTAAGTACACTAAATTGTCTAAATTCAGACAGCTTTGTGTTTTATTTGTGCATTATGAAACTTTGTAGCCAACAACTTTAATGTAAAGTTAGGGTAGTATGTATCAAAACATATATGATTAAAAACGTCTTTAAATCCATTTAGTCAGTAATGTATTTGTTTGTATTACATAATATAGGCTATGTTGTACTAAAATAAAAAGAAAACAAGTTGTGAAAAAACACTGAACAAATGGATTACGAGTGAACATTTAAATTTAATTTAAAACTAAAAATGACTCAGTTTGAATGGACATACTGTCAGACGCTGTTCACAAAGACAATATATTCACTCCACTTCCTAAGGTGAGTACCAGGGACTAAAACTTTAATGTTTCTGTAGTCGATTTATTTAGGTGAACCTATATTTAGATTCTTGATTATTTTCTTGAAACGTTTGCTGTCACTGTGTACATTGCCTTTTTTGATATTGGTTGATCCACTTTATCCTCTATGATAAACTCTTTAAAGAGAGTAAAGATGCCATGTGCTGTTTCTGTTAAAAGCCAAGTTGGCTCTTACTCAGCAAAATTGGTCATTAGAGAAAGGTCTTTGTTTTTATAATAGTACAGAAGATTTGACAGTGTGCTACTTAACCCAGATTTTTGTTAATGTCTATTTGTTGCTATATGAGCCGTATTCCACATTTCAAGAAAATATTCATTTTGATACACCACACTGAATGTTTGATGATGCTTATTTTGGCTTTTTGAAACATCTCAGACTTGAGACAAATATTGGTAGATTTGAAGAGCTTAATTTTCTTCATCAATCCAAATATTGTCCTAGAAGGGTCTTGGTTATTTTGGTCTCCTTAAGCAGAGGCTTCAGGGTTTTGCTCAATTCTCCTAAATGCCAGCTGTGTGGGAGTTAAACCCATGTGGACTAAATTTGCATGGTCTTATTTCCAAATAATTTCCAAAGAACTCTGTATTGTTTACTTTGAATAGCAATTGATGTTTGTTTTTTTTGACCCCATATGGGAGCTAAATCCCCAAAATTGTGAATACAACACACACACACTGTTCTACAGACATTGCTTCTGTGCTCAAGTTCCAATAAAAACCTTTTTATTTTTATTTATTCTGCTACAAATTTCAGTTGTTTTGTGCATGCATAGTTTCACACAGTTAAGACAAGTAAGATCACAAAAAAAGATTTCCCTTTCGAAGAGTATCTTAACTTTTAAGCATGCATATACCCCCGTGTCCATTCGTGAACAGTCAACAATATTTTAGCTGCCCCAGAAACCAACCGCCATTTCAATCAGCCATTTTGAAAATATAATCCAATGGATCGTATTTCTTTCTTACTACACTGAATAAGACTCAAATAATATTTCTGTAAACTTTCTTTGGCTTTTTGCATAAAGAAGGCAATGCTGCTTCTCTACAAATACAGATAATGAAGGTAGAGGGTAACGAAATTGGTAAGTAGAACTAAGGGCAGTTTATGGATGAGGTTGATTGTTCAATTCATTTTGAGGTATTAAAGTTAAAATTGTAAATATTGCAGCAAAGTGAAAATCACTTCAGAACTGTTCTATAGAACCAGTAGACTCAAAAAAACAAACAATAAACAAGCACATTTATCATAAAATAAATGTAGATAACAAATAAAGCATTAGCAGAATCTCTCTTTTGTGTCGTTTTAACACTTGGTGGATCATCATGAGTTAAGGTATAGATGATCTGTCAGACTCATGCAGAGTAATATTCAGAATTAGAAAAACATACAATACAATTAAAAAGGCCTATCACAGTAGTAAAGATTAGCAACTCACTGTACCTAGAGAGAATGTCCTTAAAGATTTTTTGCAGTTGATGGAGTCTGTTAGTCTTATGCACACTGAAAATTACAAATATATCTCACAGTAAGATAGACATCGTGTCATTAAAGTCAGAAGAACTGCATCAATGCTACATTACACATAATTACAAAACAAATATTGACTTGTCTTAACCAGGGTTGGACAATAGTCTTAAATCTACAGTGTAGGGTGGAGAGAAACAACAGTATACACAAAACACAAACACAGAACTTTGACAGGATCATATACAATATTTCCATATTGCCATATTATATTTGTGCTTAACATGTCCTCAGCATTAGGAAAGAGCACACTGTATTGGTATGGGTGTTTGCTGTAGTTGAAAATTGTCTTCTTAATTGCTACAGTTATTACTCTTATACCTGTTGAGTCAACAGCCACATCAGCATTAGAAATGTTGTCATTACTAAAGGAAATATGCTTTTGAAAATATACTTTGTAAAAGTCAGAAATGCAGCTGTTGGTTTTGTTTATGCTCTAAGAAACAGCAGCAGCATAATCAACAGTGTTGCTCCTGGCTGTAGTTGTCAGCCTTTGTGCTTCAGCATGGCAGTTTCAGGGCAGGGTTGATATGTTTTGGTTTTCTCGCTCATCGACAGTTCAGAAGTCCAAGATCCATTGGTACTTTGTGCTGGTCTCTCGCCTCTTCCTCTCATACCAACAGAGAACCCATGTAGTGTTTTAACATGTCAGCTCTCTTTCAGGAACTCATCGAGACATCATCCGCACAAATTCTGTGAATGGAAGAAAAGGATATTTTGTTTTACAGTTTACAAGTTTTGAAAAAGAATTCTCAGTAACATATGTGATGTTGCACAAGTGAGCACAACTGCTCCCTAATCTACTGAATTGTAGGAGCCTGCCACGTGTGAGATTTTGTGCCACCGAATGAGCATGACTTAAATTCCAAGTCATGTGTATCTATTGTTTTCGCTACAGGGATCATCATTAATTCAGTAGAACATAAATTGGGCTTCAGGTAAGCTCAACACTCAAAAACAACAACAACAAAAAACATTCCTTGCTTTTATACAAATGGTTTATAATCAGCAAAATCAAAAATCAGATGCAAGAATGTTTGTTAATCCTAGTTGCACATATAGGCTTTCTACACACTAATGCATGATTAAAACATTTCCAGTGGGGCTTCTTAAAACCTATTAGCCTACTGAGGGACATCAATCAAGACCATGTTAACCATGATCTACATGTATTCTAGCACTCCAAAACTATACTTTCTTTTTCGATCAAATGTTGCTTGGACATCGTTGCTGATGGATTGTATATAGAATGCAGGGAATGTGTGAAATTTTGTTGATGTAAGTATAGTTGCACTACTGGTAACAGCAGCACTTTTGGATATTTTCATCCCTGACAGCCTGCATGCATCCTTTTCTCTGTGGGTAATATATGAGGTGACATAATCCCTTGGTATGGAGATAATCTGACAGACAGACCCACTGCCTTCATCCCTTCACCTCACTATCAGCATGGTAGTAGGATATCAGCCATACACATGTTTTGCTTGTACTTTAAAATGTGTGTGTGTTTAAGAGAGAGACAGAATGGCGGAAATAGAAAGACACCAACAGAGAAAGTATGTGTGTGCAGGTGAAATGTGTTATGCTGTATGAATTGCAAAGTATGCTGTCACATGGGATTCTCTACCTTCAAAGTCTACATGACCATCTCCGTTGAGGTCGATGTCTCGTAGGATGTCCTCCAGATCTCTGTGTCCAACCTAAAAAAGTCAGGTTGAGGGGAAGGTGTGAATGTCCGTGGCATTGTGGATACACAAGTAGAGTAAACTGACAAGATTCAGACAGACACCATGATTGATGGAGAGCCACAGAGAGGAAGACAGACTCTCCCAGCAGTTCTGTACCTGTTGTCCTAGAAGTTTTTTCATTGCTTCTCTGAGTTCTGCTGTGCTGATCTGGCCATCACCATTAGTGTCAAACTGGGAAAGAGAAAAATATGGATAAAACAAAGAAAGCAGATTAGTATGTTACTAATTTGTAACACATCTATCTTTCATACATAATGTTTTAACTGTGCACTGTCTCTACATCACAGTAACACTTTATGTCCATTGACTTCCTGGAGGGTATCTAACATTTTTTTCATTTCATTTTTAGTTAGGTGCTAGCTGCTAGGTGAGCATTATGACACGTGTTACATAGTGACGCAGATATGTTAGGGAAGTAAAGGCAGGACTAAAATCAAACTGTTTTCAGGCAGTTCAGGGCTTTTTCACTTTGCAAACCTGTTACATATAACACATTAAAGGAAAGGGGAAAAGCCATAAAGCATAATATGACCTCTTTAAAACACATAAATCCCATAAATAATTAAGAGGCCTTGTTAATTTGGCCTTGTTAAAACATGGATATTGCAGTGGGAATTAAAGAGTTTTTGTGAGTTCTCTTTTTTGCGGCCTGATGGGAGTAGCTAAAAGGAGTGGTGAAGGGGTAGTGACTACTTGACTGTAAAGGTGTGGCAGTTGGATTTGAGTGGTGCCGGTGATTTTTGTTGCATGTTTGATGATTCTTGTGAGTTTTTTTCTTGCCTTTTTCTGTGAGGAAGTTGTACCAGGATCCAATGTTGAATGTTGATTGGATAAGTGACCGGTATACTGTTGTTGAAATGTCCTGTCTGACGTTTCTCAGGAGGAACATTATTGTCACTTGTATCTGACATAAAGGTTTTTCTAATGTTTTTGCAATGGCATGGTTGCCATTTCCTTATAAGGTAACCCTCTAAGATAAACTCCACAATCCACTGGTGTTATCACACTCTCCCCATGTATTTCCTTACCTCCTTGAATGCATCCCTCAGTTCTTTCACCCCAATCATGTCTGCAGTTTCAGCCAGAAGTTTGGGCCCCATGAGTTCAACAAAGTCCTCGAAGTCAACATGTCCTCCCACTGTTGGATAGATTGAAAACAGGAAGTTAGGTTAACCTTCAGGGTGTAATTGGAGACAAAAAATGACAAGACTTATTGCTTTATATGCTCTCCAGTCTAAGAATTGTTTTGAAGTATTGAACTGAACTCTCCAGTGATGACATTTGATTCTGAATTTTTGTCAGAGGAATGGAGAGACAAAGGGGGGAAATATCATATGTGCTCATATACACACAGACACAGTTTTACTTACAATTCATGTTGATCTGCTGGCTTAGTTCTATCAGCTCCATCTCTGTTGGCATGTAGCCCATAGTTCTCATGCAGTTTCCCAGGTCTTTACAGCCAATAAACCCATCTTTGTCTTTGTCAAACTCCCTGAATGCCTCACGCAACTCTGAGTGTAAGGGAGAGAGGACATGAACATGAGAGAGATGTGAAAATTACTTGAGAATATAGTGAAAAACTATTTTACATTCATATTTCCTGAAACGTAACATACCATCCATTTCTTCTGGCCTCAACTCTCGGTCCTGTAAAGGATCACAGTGCAAGGTTAGGAGCCAAACACTGCTGATACTTCTAAAATCATGCCAATACACAGCATTCCTCCCTCAATATGATGCTGTGAAAAAATAAATAGGCAACTGCAGGTGCCACACAGTGCCAAGACTCTGCAGGTTTCCCTCCAGCCAGTGAAATCACCTGCTGAAGAAAACATGCAGACTTTTGGCACAAATAACACATTAGGTTGTGCTAGACAAGTAAAATAACAGAATCAAGATAAAAATATTAGATCTTGTAGCATTTGTTTCTGTAGAGAGGAACAGTATTTGTAGCGTAGGTGTTTGTGTGTGTAGAATTTTTTTCTGTTTTAGGTATGTTGCTTTCCTTTATGAAAGTGTGGAGATGCAGAGACAATGGAAATTATGCAACAGTTCCCTTATTTGCCAGTCCATTGAATTTAAATAACTCAAACTCAACACCTGCATCCATTAGGAACAGCCATGTGAGAGCTTGTCATCAGAACAGTCAGTAAAACAGCAGCCGTCAACAATGAGGATTTCAATATCACGGTTTTCTTTAGTAACCTTGAATCGTGTTTTTCTGCAACCTGCCATCACCCTAACCCTGCTTTAAAAATTCTCCATCCTGCTACAAATGTCCACCATGCTTATGAGTAATGCAGCCTCATGCATAAATATACACACATACACACACACACATCCTTGCATTCAGCATTCTGGCTATCAAGAAGGCTCCATACTAAAAAAGATTTCTTATTCTGAAAATACCATCTTCTCAGTTCCACCACCTTATTTACATGCTGTAGATGCTGATGTTACAGTGCAAGGTGAATTTTACACTCATCACACATTTCTTTTATTTTGAGTGTGCTGTGTTGTGTACTAATCTGTTGGCATGCACATTATATTGTCTGGACTTACGTACAGCCTGCCGGCTCTCAGCGAAGCCCTTGCGTAGAAAGATGCATGCAGGCCCCAGTATGGTGTGCATGTTGGCTCCGTTCTGGGCCAGGGCCACTAGCGGCTCAAGATAGGCCCCCCCAGAACCCCCCTCCTCACAGGACTGCACTGCTTTGTAGTTCTTCTTCTGGTCCTGGAGCAGCATCCGGGGCGGGGGGCCAGACATGGGAGCAGGGGCAAAGACAGGGGTAGAGACCGTGACTCAGATTGTGGCAGCATGGAGTCAACAAGGAGGTGGGATGGAGGGGGGGTGTGGGGTTCAAAAGCAGGATCAGAGGTGACATATGTCTGTCAGTCATAGAGAGGTGTGGAGTCAGTCATGATGGAGGAAAACACCTCAGTCAGAGGGAAGGTTGTAATTTATTGTGACAAGAACAACTGATGCCATCCATAAATCTGTCCTATCGGTCACAATCCTGCACACCAATGTACAATTCCACTGTTACACCGATGACACAAAGCTCTAAATCCCAATTAGACCCGGTGACCAGTCTAACATTGCAACCCTTCACAAATAAATTACTGGATGTCACACAACTTCCTACAACAAAATCATACAAAATCTGATGTCATTGTTACTGCTCATACAACTCAAATCATAGCAAAAGTAGGTAAACTAGTAACTTATGCTAAGCCCTCGGCCTGAAAAAAAGGGCTTTGAACAGGACTTTTTGTATTTTGAACCCCATGTAAAGAAAGTTAAGTTTTTATGATTTGAGAAATATAGCGAAGGTTAAGTGTTTTCAGCCACTCATCCATGCTTTTATCTCCTCCCAGCTGGGCTATTGTAACTCTCTATATACTTGTCTCAGTCAGAAATCAATTTATTGCCTACAATTAGCCCAAAATGCTGCAGCTCGAATTTTAACCCCAGATGTAACGTCCTTGTACTGTCCGCCAGTTTCTTTTAGGATTGATTTTTTAATTCTTCTAATTACCTTTAAAGCCAAACAAGAGCTGGCACCTTCCTATTGCTGAGCTATTATCCCCCTGAGGCATGGCGCAGACTGAAATCCTCTGGTAGGGCACTGCCAGCTGTAATACCAATGATAAAGTTCACTGCACAGCCTATTTTCATGTCACACTGACACTCTTCTAACTTCTCTTTAAGCATTTTTTACAGTCTTCGGCTACACATTTTCTCGCCTTAAACGACAATTACGGATTATTACGAAATCTGGCCTTAGTTTTGTATCGTTGACCATCCTTTCTAACAGTTATTTTCACATTTACTCACCAAAGTAATCTGGAAAAATCATTGCAACAAAGTCAGACAGGGAGAAAAACAGTAGCAGTCAGATGGTCATACAAGTTTTAAGGAAACTTATAAAATAAGTTTGGCTAAACATAATTTTACTAACACAGTTTTCCTGCACAATGAGAGATTATTACCAACATTTTGGCATTATCTCCAAATAAAGTGGTTTAGACTAAACTGACTGCTCATGTTTTTGCCCCAACAGACTTTGTTGGTGCAATGTTGCCATGTTCCCAGATCCACACTGACAATAAAATCGTAACCGATACCAATATTGGCCAGAACTAAAACAAATTGACCCAACCTGTTATAAACTGAAATAATCCTCTACTACCCAGTTTGTTGGTGTTAAGAAACAACAGAGTTCACACGAGTATCCACACTTCTAGCTTATGATTCTAGCTAATGATACTGTCTAAATGTGTTAGTATTAGTGGTAGAAAAAGTGATAGCACAGTGTCTGCTTGTATGAGGGAATTTAAAGGGTTGATGACACAGTGTATTTACAATCAACAAGACTAATGCTGAATTTGAATTTCCCCCAGAGTTTTGGTGCACATTAGAAAATAATCATGTTGTCCAGGGGATGAGGTTAAAGTTCAGCAAGCCAGTTAATTATAATCACTAATTAGCCATCACCAGGGGGCAAAAGTTGTTCTCACAGCAGTGATCCCAATTACGAAGAGAGCTACAGGTTAATTAAAAAAAGGGAAATCACGTGCCTACCAGTGGACAAAAAAAGCAACCTCCAAAATAAATAAACCAAATAAAGTCAAATAACGTCCAAACATTGCTCTGACTAATATTTGAGCTCTGACTAATATTTGAATTAGAGAGAACAGCAGCCTAATATGAGGCACAGGAGACTACTAGAAAATAGACTGTTTACATGCTCTGTGACTATCCACTGCACATTTAAGTTTGTGAGGTTAAAGCAGTAACAGCTTGTCTTGCTTATAAAACATGATAATGTTGGTCATGTTACCGCAGTGTAACATCCAAATCAGTGGAGGAAAATCTATCTAAAAGCGTGTGGAGTGGACTCACTGTCACAGCGAATTACCAAGTGACCATTTTTGATGTTGCGTTAAATCTCTCAGACATGAGCTAGTACCCATCTTCAGACGCTTTCTTCAGTAAGCATAAGACACCCACATGCATACATGATGAAAAATGAATATACTACATGCAATTATACAGGGTATGACATGCTCTACAAATGACCTTCGCACTCCATCTGTTACCATGCCAGTCTTAATGCCAGTTCGTGCATTTATACAGTCCCCACCACAGGAACGGATGCCCACTGGGTAATCTGACCAAGTGATGCATGGAGCAGGCCTGTCTGTGGGTATATCGTGCCAGAAAAGTACTACGAAGCCACGTGCTCGCAGTTATGTAACCAAAAGAAAAAAAGACAACCCTGAAACAGTGTCAGTGAAAGGCTGAAGTCAAGCAAGAACTTCTCCAGCACCCCAACCCATTTTGCACAGATGGCATCAACAGTTGCTTGTCATATTGTGCTTCCTCAAGGATGTGCAGCTGCCGATATGAAGGAAAATCTATTTGTGGGACTTTCTGCATGCTGCGCTGAGAGTCTATTCAAGCATACACTGATACGATGAGGAGCACAGGTGAAAGAGATGCATTGTACAAAGTAAGTTATCTTCTGGAGCTTTTACAGAAATGGTTCTGAGTGTTCTGCCTCCGTTGTTCTTCGGTTATGCACTTCTGTTGTCGTCTAAAAGACAGAGGTACATTTGAGCTAATCGACTCTGATGTGGTTGAAACAGAACACATGTTTGCGACATTTCCACTGACTGGTCACATCCCACAGGTGCAGGTTCAACAGGGTAGCATCTTCCGCTGGCTCATCAGGTGTCGTACTGTGCAATTTGACTCTAAAGTTTGGTGACAAAATCCAAATTGACCCATTTTACCCCAACTCCTCTGACCTCTGTCTAAAAGGCTAAAATGAGTTTCTAGGGAATGCAACCATGAACTAATGAGCACAGAGGGAACTTGTATCATAAAAGAAGACAGATGATAAAATGCAAATGTCATATGAGTGCTGTGCTAAAGTCAGTGCAATTATAAAGTGGGCAGGATTAGTTTTAAAGGAACTCAGCAAAGTCATAATCAGTAATAAAGACTATAAGCTCCTGTGTTGGCAAACACTGTTTGAAACTACAGCATGAGACACAACCTTTATCTTGAAATGCTCCATTATTCTCGCATTTGCTCGGACTCCAGCAACACAAAACACAGGGAAGACAGCCTATTATTAAATATCTAGTCATACAGCACACAGGATTCACTCAGAAAAGGTCCAGTCAAATAGTCATCGGTCAGGTTGGGGACACACCATGAGACAAACATGCACCACCAGTCAGGGGATTCAGGGAGACCGCGGCAGAGTGAAAAACCTCAGAGCGGACCTTACCTTCTTGGTGAAAATTTTAAGCGACTTTACAGAGTTGCCCATTGCAAAAAAAAAAAATCCTTCTTGTTTTATGTTTTCTCTCTAACTGTGTCTGTGTTGGTGTGGCTGTTTGTAAGTGTACGTGTATGCATATGTGTTAGCATATGTTCCCGGGCATGCATGGGAATAGGAGTGATTTGAAAGGGAAAGAGGGTTCAGTGGGTTACTGACACATATAATAGGACATTTGGGAACAGGCAGGGAGAGGAGTGGAGATATCATGTGAGGTAGAGAATAGACAGAGGGGAGAGGACGAACGAAGTGTACAGGGAGGACCTAGAGGCAAGGATGCTGGGAGGCACGAGG